AAAGCAGCTTGCCTGCGGCCCTCAAATGCTTCCCGGTGGAAGGAACTGTGCAAAGTGGTCACAGACTGGGGGTTCTGTTCTGTGTCATCTGTTCTCTGTGCCCGTCATCAGCTGCCCTTCCCCTTCTCCCAGATCCCACATGGGATTGGCCCTTCACTTGTGCACGAAGGCAACTCCCTTCCTGTGGAGCCCTCCATTGGCCGCCCAGTGCCCTGTGTGTCAGGGGCTCTCCATCACACGTTCCCACGCACTCCCCTGCACGCTCTGCCTCGGCAGATTCCTTCCCCTGTCTAGAAGTATGTGTTTCTAGCACAGAATGCCTGTGATACCCACTTTCGCCACCAGACCTCATTCTTTAAAGCTTTTTCAGCTTCTGTGATTATTTTGAGCAGGAAATTCTCAATCACATGGTAATATATGTGTAACACTTGCTAACAGCTCCTTTAGCAAAGAGGTTACAGTCCCGGCTCTGGCAGCAGCTGCTCTGGTAGTAGCAGTGGGGGTGTGGGAGCTGGGGCGTGGGGAGGGGTCTAGAGCAGCCCTAGAAAGAAGAGGCAACTGCTCTGGCCTGAATATTTCTGATATCCAGGGTACCTCAAATATTAGAAATCCAACATCCTTTCCTAGAAACAAAACAACACAATAAGAACACTCAGGTCTGAATTAGTCCTTAGTATTCCCATACTTTTGAGTATAAGGAGACTCTTTTATGGTCAAAAATATCTGCAGATTGGTCCTACTTGATGGCAGCTGTGCTCTGTTATCAGCTGATTAAGACATTAGATAACAATAGAAAGCTACTTATTAACAGAATTAATAACCCTTAAAAAAGTAAAGTTATATTTTATTGATATGGGAAAATCTACCTCCTTTGGAAAAAAGGAATATACATATGTGATTATGTGTCAGAGGGACTGACAAAATAGGGATGATGCTCTACTTCTGAACTATTGTGATTTTAGTGATGACAGGGACAGGGACACTTCAAGACTTCAAGAAACAGAGACCAATTGGAATATTTCACACACCCTTTATTTCCTGTTCACTGCAAAAGCAAGCAGCATCATCCATCTGTCCCCCACACTGAAGCTACTCCTTGGCCTGCATGTGGCCGTGTTCCAAGCAATTCTGAGCCCCAATCTGACATGATCGTGGGGATGGGAATGGAAGTGTTGCTCCAGCTTGCAGCCAAGCCAGCAGGATCAGGGATGCCCTTTCCCAAAGGGGTAAATGTCCCCATCGCTTCTCTTGTTTTGCACAGCCCATGGGGCCATCCAATCACACTCTTTTACCCTACTTGGGGCAATGAGGCAAACCCTATTATTTTGTGGAAACAGAAACGGCAAACAAGCATAATTTCTACAGCAAAAGGGAATCTTTGCGGCTGGTGTACATTCTTCTTCCTCACTGGTCGTGTTCTCCTGTTTCGGAATACAGTCTTGATTCGTGTTGTTGTCATGAGTGGATCTGTTCTCACCACTTATTTATTAGGACTAGGTCTAGAGGGAGAAAGCCAGGCCAAAAGCTATGTTGTCTTTCTGCCCAAGAGAGAACACCAACTCTTAATAGACAAGGGATGGGTAGGGGTTGAATCACAGGTTTTCATGGTATCAATTAGAGTGCATAAGTTTTCCAAACGGGACAAACCTTGTCAAGACTGGAGCATCAGGCAGCTCAGGGTCCCAGGAATACTCACCGTCTCACAGCCCCCTCGGGAAGCTGCTGGGCTGTGGCACCTGTTTCTGCATTCTGGGCACCCTCAAGCTGAGACAGCGTCTAACAGCCGGAGGCACTGCCGAGTGGTCCTCACCCACTGAGAGTAAGGTGGGGGAGGGGAAGCTGTCCTGTGCACACAGGGGAGGAGCATGGAATTTTCCAGTGAGATATGGCATCCAGACTATTGGACTCTCTGCAGTGCCATGGCTCTGAGGAAGCTTTCTATGGCTACGCACTCTAGGAAGAGTGTTTCTCAACCCAATGGTTATTATTGTGAAGGTCTTAATTTCTTTTCATGGTCATTGAAGACTTTTAAAATTTATCACTGCTTCATGGCCGTTCTCACATCATTGCATCAGGGTCTAACCTGGAAACAGAAATCACCCAGATTATTTAAAACAGAGGGCACGTAAAGCAGGAAATTGGCAACACATGATAGAAGAGGTTGAGACGCCAAATAAGAAAGAGACAGTCAGCCCATGGATTAGCAACTTCAGGAGCTAAAAGGAGGAGGTGGTGTCTCCAGAGACGTGGGCTCACCAGAAGAAGCTCAAGGATGTCTTTGTCCAAGGCAGAGAGGGAGACAGAAAGGTACCCTGGATTCTCTCCTTCAGCCTCTAACGTCCCCGTAGTGCCGCCCATTGACAGACCAGCTGCGGGCCAGCTGACTCGAGAGTTTGGGAAACAGCCTTCAGAAGTCAGCCCCCTGCCATCCAGAGCAGAGCAGGGAAGGGAAGGCATGGCTCTGAGGACAAGCAAATCTCACCAAATAAGTCTGTTCCTGGGATTAGCCTTGTTCTGGTATTTATTAATGTAGAATTTTTAATTCAACTTTGCTGCACACCTTTTACACATTTAGTTGGTATTAATATAATAATATATTCATCCTTCCAGCCAGGTTATTCACTCCTTTTTTCCTGCTTTGCGAGCTGTTGAATTACTTTGGAGATTATACATAGGATTTACAAGTGCTCAACCAGCTCATTGGTGTTTGAAACTCGTAAATAATAATTACGTTATTATTAATAACTACCTTCACAGTTAATGAAGCACTTTCACATACATGATACTATTTTATTCTGATAAAACTCTGTAAATAGTCATTATTATTCCCATTTTATAGAAGGATTATCTGAGTCTTGGAGACTTTATGTGAATTGCTCAAGGACAAAAAACAACTAACAGAGGCAGAATACAAACTGTCAACTGTCTGGTTCCAAATTCCATAATTTCCCCATGATCTCCCGCTGCTTCCTGCCAGAAGGAGTTGCCCGGGGGGCACAGTGAGAGTTTTTCTGGGCTAGTTGACTGAGTATAGAAGGAAGGAGAGGGTATATTTTAAACTTGCACAATTCTTGGCGACCTAGAAATTAAAATTTTACTCTTAGGTGTAAGTGACACCAGGCCCATCTAGCATTCCTGTCTGAAGAATTACAATCTCCCTGAAGAGACTGCACTCTTGCTCTTTTCACGTCTAGATTCAGTATTTCAATAGGCAGGGCTGGCTGTTCTGGAAAGATCAGAGTCACAGCACCATGTACCACCCTAAGAGTGACAGAAGAGGGGAGAGAGGAAGAGAGGGAGGATGTCCACAGTTCTCATCTATCTCGCCTCAATAAAGTACATGACACCCAGTGAAACTTGAATGTCAGATAAACAATTTGTTAGTGTAAGTATGTATCTGACATTCAAATGGTGTCTTATAATTTGCTAAATCTGACAAATTCTACAAACTTCTCTCAAGGTTTCAGGGGCGGGGGTTGGGAGAAAGGTGCGGGAGGATACTGAGGACAGGAACCCATATGGCTCTGCTCGCACCATCTGTGCCTGTGCAGGCCATCAGGTAGTAATTCCTGCACAGGTGCAGAAGCAGAAGCAGGGGCTGGAAGGGGGTCCCAGTGTCCGCCAAGTACTGGTGAATTCTGAATTGGAGCTTCTCTCTGTGGTGAAGAGAGTTGGCCTGGCCTGAAGTGAAGGTTAATGCTGATTTACCTGGTCTCACTTAGTAGGTGAACATTCGAATCTGAACATTCGAATCTGACCAAAAACTTAAAATTAGCCTTTGAGATGCGCAAACTTATTTGAAGTAAGGAAGGAGGAAGGAGTGGAAGAGCGTCCAGAGGCGTCAGGCAGAAAGGTCAGTGAGCGGCTGGAATAGGTGAGGAGGCGCATGTCAGCGTGGTGCCGCTGGCCCAGAAGACAGGAAGGCAGACGCTGGGGCTTTCCCAGGTCGGTGTCAAGTACGGGGCAGATGCAGTGCTGCGGCCAGACCCTTCCCTTTGACTCTGAGGAGCGCAGAGCTGGGAGGGCATGCCACTGGGCTTTGACTCTCCCAACAGAGGAGCAGTCTATGCAACACCTCTGACAGGGGGAGAAATGACCCTGGTGACTTATCCTGGAGCTCAGGGAGGGAGACTTAGGGGCTGATCTCAGCCCTGCCACTAAGGCGATCTGGAGCCATGAATAAGCCATTATTATCTCTGGGCCTTTGTTCATCTGACAAATACCACGGTGAGGGATATATTAGACTTCCCTGTGATTCCTCTTAGTTCTAAAATTCTGTTGGTATGTGTTTAATGTCAAGCCTTCTCGTGACTGCCGTTTTGTGTACACTGGCCAGGCAAGAGGGCTGGTAAGCACTCTTTATCAATAATCTTTATTATATCTGAAGATTGCTTTTCCATTTTCCCCTCAGTGTTTACCCCTATCTAGGCAGACCATCGAAACGCTTTTTTCAAAGGGCTATATTCAAATGAGTTAACCAATGAAACGGAGACTTTTCTAAAAGCCTCAGATGTCAGCAAGACACTTAGTAACTCTAGGGGAGGACAGGCTGCGATTAGCATTTCAATCCCAGTTTGCCCTTCATTTGTTCACTCATTTCTCAGCAAATATTTATTGAGCTCACGTGATGCATCAGGCAAATTTGAGCTGCAGGGAGGGAAATTTCAGCATAACTGCAACACCCAGGAAACTCCAGGTGATTTGAGACCTGGTTTCTCTAACTTTTTGTTTCTGCCTGCTGTGCTGGACTCATTCAAGTTTAGCATTCAGCCGTCCCGTCCATCGAATGGTAGAGGCAAACAAAAATGAGTCTTTTCCAACAGTTTTAGTGAAAGGTGAAAGGGTTGGATAAATTGAGGATTTGAATAACCTGTGGGTTCCACCTCTGTGTAGAGGAGCTGTGGGCCTCCCAGACCAGACGTAACTGGGGACTGGGTCCTTCCACCCAGCATGCAAAGCAGCCCTCGGGGCTGTCCTTCTCACACCTGCCTCCTCCATAGGGCTGCGCTTGAGATGGAGTTGCTGCCCCTTTGGCTCTGCCTGGGTTTTCACCTCCTGACAGTGGAATGGAGGAACGGAAGTGGAACGGCCACAGCAGCTGCCCAAGGGGGATGCAAGTTGGTGAGTTTTCCCTTGAACTTTGTCTGTTGCTCCTGTCCTGACAAGGTTGGGTCCTTCTGGAAAGCTGATGGATTGTCAATCAAGACGGGCAGGGAATGAATGAGTCCGAATCACTCTGTGCCTACCCAGCTCAATGCCACATGCAAGCTGCTCTTTAACCCCAGGTTTTTAAGATGATGCCTGGGAAAAGCCTTTTCATACCTGCTAAAGACAGGAGGCCCCACAGACAGGCCTAGGTTAGTATCCTGGAAGAAGAATACCTTGTTAAAAATCTGGATGGTTGAGCTCCACTAATGGTATTAGGATCTCTGCATGAGGCGTATTAAAGCTGGAGAAGCCCTGCCTCGGCGTTTCTGTATGAGCCAACAGCAAAGGCCCCGCAGCCTTGCAGAGCATGCTGCATGCTGCATTGCAGAGCCACATCCTTGACCTCGCTGAGACTTAAGGAGACCCAGAGGGTGGTTACCTGAGTCTGGACAGTTGTTCCCTCCAGGGCTTTCAGCCTGTATATGGAAACAGATGTGCATCATAATTGAGCACATTTCTAGCAAGGTTTTCCTTTGCCTATAACTCAATGATATCAAAAGTCTACTCAGGAAACACACATTTAATAAATATTCCTTGCACCCTATTACATCCCAGGCACTGGGAAGACAAATTGGATGTCAGGCTAATATTTACATTTAAGAATGTGTTCTTAAAGCTGATTAATCTTACAAACCCAGCTGTCATCATTCTTAACCACTTACAGTAGCCTCTAACCACTATACTAGCATGTACTCCAGTATGGTGTAGGGGTTACGAGCCAGACTAACCAGGTTTATTTATTTATTTTTTTTTAATTTTTTAATTTTTTTTTTTCTTGAGACAGAGTCTGGCTCTGTTGCCTGGGCTAGAGTGCCATGGTGTCAGCCTAGCTCACAGCAACCTCAAGCTCCTGGGCTCAAGCAATCCTACTGCCTCACCCTCCCTAGTAGCTGGGACTACAGGCATGCGCCATCATGCCCGGCTAATTGTTTTTTATATATAGATTTTTAGTTGTCCAGCTAATTTCTTTCTATTTTTTTAGTAGAGACGGGGTCTCACTCTTGCTCAGGCTGGTCGTGAACTCCTGAGCTCAAACAATCCGCCCGCCTCGGCCTCCCAGAGTGCTAGGATTACAGGCATGAGCCACCGTGCCCGGCCCAGACAGACCAGGTTTAAAATCCAGCCCCACCGCCTATTAGCTGGTGACATTGGGGCCACTGTGTGCCATAGTTCCCTCATCTGTAAAATATAGTGGTAATAATAATATCTACTAATAATACCATAACGCTGGGTTGTTATGATTAAATGAGTTAATACATGTAAAGCACTCAGGACAGTGCCTGATATATAGTAAATGCCATGTGTTTTATCTATTATCATTAATTTTATTATTGTTAATCTCGGCTACCTTTGCCCTCCACCATTCCCTTACAGAGGCAGTAACAGATCAACTCACAGTTGCTCCTCAGGGGTTAGCCGGCCCATGAAGAGGAAGGGATAAACGTGAATTTTTTGACAGCCTTTTGGAGTTCAGGCTAGACACCCTGTCTGACCCTCTCTGGCCTTGAGGCAGGAGTAGGAACTCGGCTGCCAGGGAGCCCAAAGAGTGGGTTTCCTGTGGGAATTGAGGACTGAGAGTTCGAGCACCAGCTACCCTCCATTGCCCCTCATTACTTCAGCCATTTGACGTTATAAGACAGCGGCCATGGGAAGCTTTTCTGGTGCTCTGATGTGGCCACGTGGTCCTTTTGCAGCACTTCAGTGGGGCTGCGGGGAATTGCAGAGGTGCGACCCCCATGACTGCACAGTTGTGTGGAATAGGGTCTCAGAGCTTGAGGAAATCCCCTAACCACAACGTTCTCCAGAGAGTCCCCGTGGAGAGGGGAGACCAACACTTGCTCAAATAAAGAAATACACCTTGTCTCCGGATGGGGAGATTCAATTTTGTAAAGATGTAAGTTCTCCCCCAAATTAATTCATAATTATAATGCAATTCCAGTCAAAATTCCTAAGACTTTTTTTGGGGAAGGGGTATGTGGCAGGAATTTGACATTCATTGTAATGTTCATCTGGAAATTAGAAACAACTCAAATGCTCAGTAATAGGAGATTGATTAATTAGATCATAATAATAATTCTAGCTAACATTTATTAAGCATAATGTGTTTTATGTAAATAATCACACTCAAGCCTCAAAAAAAGAAAAACCCATGAAAAAATTACAAGTATAATTTCTATTTTACAGGTGGGGTAATGGAGGTCTCCTCTGGTTAGGTAACCAGCCCAACGTCACCCATTTGATAGAAAACAGAACCAAGATAGGCTGGCCCGAGAACTCTCGCTTTTAACCACTGTGCTATTCGTGCAGTGAAATGATATAGTTCCTAAAAAGGATGTGACCAAATTTACTTTTACTGCCAAGGCAATATGTCTAGCATACGTCATTGAGGGGAAAAAAGTAGATTACTGAACAGTTTGTAGAGTATGGTCTCATTTGTTTTTTTAAGAGAAAGAGGTACTCAGTATCTTAGGAAAAAACCAGAAGGAGATCTAACAAAAGGTTAATGGCGTTTCTCTGAAAGTCTGAGATTACTGAAGAGTTTAGTTTTCTGTATGTCAATAGAGTATCAATTTTTAATTATTGGAAGGTTTATTTTAATAACCAGTTAAAGAACTTGAGGCTTTAAGAGGTTAGTTCCCCACCCAGGGTCCAAAGCTAGTAAGTGGCAGAGACAAGATTCAGACTGGAGCCTGTCGTCTCTCCAAATCCGTGCTGCTTCCTCTCTCTTGGGATTTTCTTCCTCTGTCCCACTACTCTACTTGCCCTCTGGGATTGGACCCACAATTTCAGGTAATCACTGGCCTTGTCTACTGACCAAGCTGTAGAAAGGAATGACATTCCTCTTCTGTCTTATCACTTAAAACTTTTTTCCTGGACACCTAACTGACATCCTACAGCTGGTTGTTTTCGCCAGTTTTGCAAAGCGTAGGTCTGAATTAAAGTATCCTGGCTTGTGTGATCTTTGCAGTGAGACCAGGGTTCCCTCTCCCTCGGCCTCCTCACACTGCACTGACTTGCACATTCCAGAGCCCTGGGCTCGGGCCCTAGCACTGCCGTGGCTCCTCAGTGCTCCCTGCAGACTCACCTGACTTCTTGCACAATTCAGAGCAGTGATGAGCTCCCAAGTCCTTTTAAACGGTAGCATTTATCAATCCGGAATATAGGGTGCCTCCCATGCAAAATGACTTTGGGTGAAATGAAGATGCCACAGTATTGTCGATTGTCAGTGGCTCTGTCAGGTACACAGGTGTTATGTGATAAGGATAATAACCTAAGGGTGACAATTCAAGCACCGACTGCATGCCAGGTACTGTTCTAAGTTCTTCAAGAGCAGCTGCTGGTTTAATTTCACAACAATCCTCCGAAGTAGGTATTATTTTTATCTCCATTTTTCAGAGGAAATAACAGACTTAGGCTAAATTATTTGCCCAAGGTCAGACAGGAAATAAATGTGGTTTAAGGGAGGCCTGGAACTTGGCTGCCAGCTGATTATTTAAGTGTGACAGTAAAGAACATTTTCCTATCCTATTTTAAAATTATTGTCTCTAGCACCATTTCCAGTGCTTGCATGAACAGTCCAATGAATGGACTAAGTTTCTGTGCATAAAGCTCTGCCTCAGGGCCTCCTCCCTGCTGACCAGTGTGTGTTTGGACCTAGGTGGGTGGAACCGCTGACTGCCGAGGGCAGAGCCTTTCCTCCGTGCCCAGCAGCCTCCCGCCCCACTCCCGGATGCTTATCCTGGATGCCAACCCTCTCAAGACCCTGCGGAATCATTCCCTGCAGCCTTACCCTCTCCTGGAGGGCCTCAGCCTGCACAGCTGCCACCTGGAACGCATCGGCCGCGGCGCCTTCCAGGAGCAAGGCCACCTGCGCAGCCTGGCCCTGGCTGACAACTGCCTCTCAAAGAACTACAAGGAGACGGCAGCTGCTCTCCACACCCTGCCAGGTCTGCAGAGACTGGACTTGTCCGGAAACTCCCTCACAGAGGACATGGTGGCCCTCATGCTCCAGAACCTCTCCTCACTCGAGTCTGTGTCCCTGTCAAGGAACATTGTCATGAGGCTGGATGACTCTGTTTTTGAGGGCCTGGAGCACCTCAGGGAGCTGGATTTGCAGAGGAACTACATCTTTGAGATTGAGGGTGGTGCTTTTGACGGCTTGACTGAGCTGAGACACCTCAACCTGGCCTATAACAACCTCCCCTGCATTGTGGACTTCGGCCTCACACAGCTGCGGTTTCTTAACATCAGCTACAACATCCTGGAGTGGTTCCTGGCGTCCGGGGCAGAGGCTGTCTTTGAGCTGGAGACACTGGACCTGTCTCACAATCAGCTGCTGTTCTTCCCGCTCCTGCCCCAGTACAGCAAGCTGCATACCCTCCTGCTGCGGGACAACAACATGGGCTTCTACAGGGACCTGTACAATGCCTCATCCCCGCAGGAGATGGTGGCCCAGTTCCTCCTTGTGGATGGCAACGTGACCAACATCACCACTGTCAACCTCTGGGAAGAGTTTTCCTCTAGCGACCTCTCAGATCTCCGCTTCCTGGACATGAGCCAGAACCAGTTCCAGTACCTGCCAGACGGCTTCCTGAAGAAAATGCCGTCCCTTTCCCACCTGAACCTAAACCAGAACTGCCTGATGACACTTCATATCCGGGAGCACGAGCCCCCAGGGGCGCTCACGGAGCTGGACCTGAGCCACAACCAGCTGTCGGAGCTGTACTTGGCTCCGGGCCTCACCGGCTGCCTGCAGAGCCTCCGCTTGTTCAACCTGAGCTCCAACCAGCTCCTGGGTGTCCCCTCCGGCCTCCTCGCCAATGCCAGTAATATCACTACACTTGACATGAGCCACAATCAGATCTCACTTTGTCCCCAGCCAGCTTCCTCAGAGGAAGTGGGCCCCCTCAGCTGTGTGGATTTCAGGAATATGGCATCTTTGAGGAGCCTCTCTCTGGAGGGCTGTGGGCTGGGGGCTTTACCAGACTGCCCGTTCCAGGGGACCTCCCTCACTCACTTAGATCTGTCCAGCAACTGGGGCGTTCTGAACGGGAGCATCGCCCCTCTCCAAGACATTGCCCCCATGTTGCAGGTCCTTTCTCTCAGGAGTGTGGGCCTCCGTTCCAGCTTTCTGGAGTTGGACTTCTCTGGGTTTGGGAATCTGAGGGACCTGGATCTGTCGGGAAATTCCTTGACCAGCTTCCCGAGGTTCAAGGATGGCCTGGCCCTGAAGACCCTGGATCTCCGTAGAAACTCGCTCACAGCCCTTCCCCAGAGGGCCGTGTCTGAGCAGCTCTTGAGAGGTCTGCGGACCATCTACCTCAGTCAGAATCCATATGACTGCTGTGGGGTGGAGGGCTGGGGGGACCTGCAGCATCTGCAGTCTGTGGCCGACTGGGCCTCGGTCACGTGCAACCTCTCCTCCAAGGTCATCCGTGTGATGGAGCTGCCTGGGGGTGTGCTGTGGGACTGTAAGTGGGAGCGGCTGGACATGGGCCTGCTCTACCTCGTGCTGATTCTCCCCAGCTGCCTCACCCTGCTGGTGGCCTGCACCGTCATCTTCCTCACTTTCAAGAAGCCTCTGCTTCAGGTCATCAAGAGCCGCTGCCACTGGTCCTCCATATACTGACCTGGCTGCATGCCAAGGTTAGAAATTTGGTCTGTGCACGTATGAACACTTTCTTGGCTAGATTTCGAGATCTATGCAGAGGCCAAGTCTGATGAATTGAGGTTTAAATTAAATTTGAAATGTTTCCATCCCTCAGCCACCCCAAGTTCTTCTTCCATCATTGTGAGTTCTCCTCATCATCCTGGTAAAATATTTATTAAGTGACAGTCTATGAAAATAAAAGACAACATATCTCATAAATATTTTTTAAATCAAATGCAGTTTGTGTCTTTTCTTTTTTTAATGTTTATTGGTGGTTTTACTTAGATTATTTTTTAGGGTTCTTGCATTGGTGACATCCATGGAGCTGAAAGGGTGGCAATTCAGTGCTAGCCTACAGCAAAAACAACTCCAAGAGCATGTCCCAGGGATGGTGAGCATCAGTATCTCTCCCATCCTGCCTGGCTGGCCTGTATTGCCACCGCAGTCAGAATGGGCCAGTGGCAGGGCCCTCTCCAGGTGCCCTGGATCCATACCTGGAGTAGACAGACATGACTCTTCTTGGAAAAACTAAGAGAACAATAACTGGGCCCTGAGTTTATCCATTCTGTAAACACCAGACGCAGCCCTTGTAAAGGAGTAAAGAGGGAGGCAGAGAGGAGTGAATTCTGCTAACTTGTGGACCCTCCTAACTCTTCACAAAGAAATCACAATTTCTTAGCTGATGTTCAGTGTCTGTATTCACTGGAGTCCTAGTTTCCTTTCTCGCTTGATGAGTAGTGAGCAATTTCTGTGCTTCTCTCTGGGGGAACAGATAACAAAGACACAGCCTCTGTCCTTTGGTAGTTTAGAATTTACACTGTCTTTGAACTTTTTATCCCTGCTTACTAAATCATAAAAAGGGATTAAATGCAGTAGGGGAGGGAGGAGGGTGGAGAGAGGCTAGAAATCCAACCAACTGATTGCTATTACCATGCAGACTAAATGTCAGCAGAAATGTTTAGGCAAATCAAAGAGATAAAATCAGTGGTCTTACTTTGACAAAGCAGAAACTTCCCTTGGACGCTCTACAGGGGTATGAAAAAGGCCATTTCAGTAAGGTTCCACATTCAGTAGCATTAGTAGCAGGCCCTGTTAGATTTTGTCCTGATTATAACCCCACTTTTCCACACTGCCCCCACCTGGTGCGTGGGATGTGTCTCAGATTGCCTTGAAACCTCTGCCTCGTCCTTCTGGGCAAGCCCAAACAGCTGATGCCCAGGAGACCAGACTCTCCTGATTTCCTCTCTCCATCTACAAAACCCTTTCCCTGGGATCCTGCTGTTTCCCAATTAGACAAATGAATCTAGCTGTGGCTGGTACATTTATGGCTTCTCTAGAGTTCATGTGTCAGCCCTGTATCTATCAGTGTCCTTAGTTTCTTGCAACTGAAGATGCTTCTGTCTGATTTAAGCAGCATGAGAATTTAGTAAAAGGCTATTGGCAAGCTCTAGACTCTCTGGGAAGGCTGAAGAACAGGCTTAGAAAATGGGAAGCCCAGCTTGAGCAAGAGTGAGACCCCCTCTCTACTAAAAATAGAAAAAAATTAGCTAGGCACTAAAAATAGAAAAAATTAGCCAGGCACGGTGGCACTCACCTGTAGTGCCAGCTACTCAGGAGGCTGAGGCAGGAGGATCGCTTGAGCCTAGGAGTTTGAGGCTGCTATGAGCTAGGCTGACGCCACGGCACTCTAGCCTGGGCAACAGAGCAAGACTCTGTCTCAAGACAGAGGAAAGAAAAAGGAAAAAAAAAAAAAGAGAGAAAATGGGCAGGAACAGGGGATACTGTACAGCAGTTGGGACCACAGCCCAAACCACACCATGAACAATTGCGAGAACATGGAAGCAGCCACCCCTGAATACGGGACACCATGCTCTGCACTGCTGCCACTGCCACAGTGTCACTGCCACTGCTGCCACCACCACTGAAGTAAACACTTTCCCAAGTCTGCCACTGGCTCCTGATGCACAGTCTGGAGCAAGTGCGTGGCTGGTTGACCTTAGGTCCTGTGTCCGGTCCTGGCCACAAGAAGGACTGGGAAAGCTGTGCCTTTTGGTGAGGTGTCTGTGGCAGAAGACGGGCTCTGCTTCCTGCAAATACTCGTAAGGCGCAGAGTTCTCAAAACATAGGAAGGGAGGTGAGACGCTGAGCAGACAAGAAGAATGTCAAGCAAGTACCATACCCTTTTAGACAGCATGCACATTTTAGCAGACGACTTCTGGAAGCAAATTCTTAGCATAAAGGAATGACTTGAATGATGGCAACTCCAGATAGAACCTCGGGGCAGCAGGGGAGACGGTTTGGGATCCGGCATGCCTTTTGAAGCCCCTCTAGTTACAGCTGACCACCCATTCTTCCTGTTCTTAGGGCCCGGCCTGGCAGGAGGGCAAACTGAGAAGTTAGGACGGAGCCCTAGCCCTGCCTGTGGCAGCGACTTCAGAAGACTGCGGACTTCCTTACCAGTTTGTGCCAGTGCTAGGATCCAAAGGTGATTTCCTAGGTTTTTTTACAGTATGGTGGGAGTTTAGATAGGACAGGTAGCTTTCTGCCTCCAGTCCTGAGCTACGGATTCTCCAGCAAATTCTGTACTCTTACCCTACTTCCCCCTACCTCTCCCTGCAGGTCCACTCTAATGTCCACTCAAAGAGTACTAGAGAAGGAAGGACCCACGGAGCCTGTTACCAGAGTTCCCTGGGGGGACCAGAAGTGTTGTCTGCCTAAGATCTCCCATACAGCCCGACTGAGCTCCAAGTGGTTCTCCCTCAGTGGGTGGGAAGTGGGGGGCCACCCTCAATTACCACGTGCCAGCATATTCAGACAGGAGAATATTCAGAATCACAGATAAATAATGTCAGAGACTAGTCTGTGAACATGAGTTAACAGTAATTCAGATTTTGAAAATCCAGTCATAAAACAAAAGTGTAAGGTTTTTCTAGAGGAATATAAGTTACGAGTCAACTGATTTTTTTTTAAAGGACCCCAGTTGCAAGTAATTGCACAAACTAATTCTTGGTTCGTATCTCTGGTCTCCTTTGGTCCTCTCTGATGCATGCATGGCCCACTCTTATTTATATGCCAGACAACTTCCATTTGCCCTCCAAATCCACTTTTCCGCCCTGCCCCAGGAGGCAGACCTCAGTGGGCTCCCTTGCCCGTTGGCTTCTGGTTGTATTTGGCTGAGAAGGAGCCTTGGCAAGTTAGAAAGGAGGAGGAGAGTGAGGTCAGAGTATTTATTCTCTTGACTCCTCCCTGTGGCTCAAACTGGCGACACCTATTAACCAAAGGTCATGCTCCTTTCAAGGTGGCCCTTTGTACACAAATCTTGGGGTTCTAGGAATCTTGCCTTGGGGTTCTAGAAACTATTCACACCACAGGTCCCTCCTCTCTGAGCCTGGGATGGGTAACAGCTCTGCCTCACCAGCCCCTTGTGCTGTCCTGTGGTTTGTCTTTCCCTCCCCACCCCTTCATAAAAAGTCCCTTTGTACAATCTCCTTGAGTTGTCCTTGTTTAATGTGCCGTCTGGTTCCTGTTGGGACCCTGAGTGATGCAGCTGGTTATTCATGTAGTAATACTTGTATCAGGGAGCCACAGGATGCTGGGTGCAGCCAGGGGTAGGGAAGCACATGCCCCAAAGGTGGCATCCCTCTGACTCACTGTGGGTGGCCGTGAGGGAGGTGGTGGACGTGAGGAAGATGGCATACCTCACTGTGTTACTAATGTCGTCATATTTTACCCAAATTAGAGTGGGAGAAGTTTCCAGCCCTGGAGACCTTCTTTAAAAGAATGTAGGTGTTGTGATGGCCAACACAAACGATAACAGCAGGAGGAAAAAAGTGTTATAAAAATATATTCCTCACTAACCAGTCATCTTCTACTCTATCTTCATCAATAATTACCAAGCACTTATTTTGTGCTAAGTGCTTTATATGGATAATTTCACTTAATCTCAGGGAAACCCCTAGACTGAAAGCAGTTTAGATTTGCCCAGGGTCACATAGAACTGCCGTGAAGATGTGAGCATTTTGCTACGGAAGAAAAAGCAGCCCAGCAAATTGACATCTTATCAAGTCTATCAAACTGTCAGCTGATGGGTGGTTAGTGGTTGCTGAACGGCACATATTTTCTGATTAAATGGCAAACCTGGAGAAGGGTCATACAGGGCAAAGGTAAGGAAGCCCAGAGTGGTTGAAGGTCACTCACTTCAAATGAAGCTGTTCGGCAGGCAGCAGCATCGTTGGGGGGTAATTTATTAATACAGCCGAGGAATCTCACTCAATTCCTTCCTCCTTCAGCTGTGCAGCATCCTCATGCTGAACGATCAGGACCAAAGGCTGACGTAAGAGGACTCTGGTTTTTGTTATAATTTTGAAGGGTCACTGTGGGCATGGGCACTGATTAGGGAAACCATCTTGCCAGGGAGAAGATTGTTTCTGGAATAGTCACCTGAACCAAGATTTTCAAATGTAGAACCCAACTTTAGTAGGTGCAGTTTCTCAGAGAAGAAAGATTAGGTTAAATACTAGTAGACAAAGAACTTACTCAGAGACTAGAGTTGTTAAAACACTGACCCATTCACTCCAGGACCTCTGAGCACTCAGACAGTTCTTGGTTCTTAGCATTACCAAGGATGGTGGATATCAGATGAGGGCTGGCTAACCCCAGGAAAGGCTTGAGGAGAATTGCAGTGCACAGGTCTTGACACCCCAGATGGGATCTCTCTTAAATCATACTTTTCAGGGCTCTTTAAATACAGTTTTCTGGCTGAGTGTGGTGGCTCACGCCTGTAATCCTAGCATGGGAGGGCAAGGCGGGAGGATTGCTTGAGCTCAGGAGTTTGAGACCAGCCTGAGCAAGAGCAAGACCCTGTCTCTACAAAAAATGGAAAAAGTTAGCTGGGCGTGGTGGTGCGAGCCTGTAGTCCCAGCTACTCAGGAGGCTGAGGCCGGAGGATCACTTGAGCCCAGGAGCTGGAGGTTGCAGAGAGCTATGATAACACCACTGTACTCTAGCAGGGGCAACAGAGCAAGACTCTGTTTCAAAAATAAATAAAATGGAAAAAATAAAAAAATAAAAACAGTCTTCTTTAGTGATTGCTCCCAAGAGCCACCATGTCTTTCACTCACCCTAGACATGGCTTTTAATTGTCCCATCTTCATGCCAGTGCAATGACCATCCTCAGCAGCTTTTTGGCTGCTCTTGGTCCACGGTCATTCTTCAGGCACTCAGTCCTGCAC